GAGAAGGAAGGATGACCAGTTCCGGTGTGGGTCAAAACGACTTGGCCATAACGCAAGAGAAGAAGTTGCCTATCCACCAAAGAAAAGACTCATATCAAGAGGAGTTGAATACTCCAAGTAAAAAGATGCAGAGCTTCGATGATAAAGTGGAAGAGAAGTCGACATCGGTGAGACGAGATGATAACTATATTCGACTACCATCGCTGGATCAGGAACCAAACCAGTATCTCCAATCGCTTCAACAAGAGACACTTCGACCAATACTCTCACCAATCTACCCATGGACGTCGCCACCACAGAGACTACCAGGACCGTATGATGCGCCCTACTTCCCAGTTCCATTACCGACAGTCAGAAGTGAAGAATCGTCTGGGATTAAAGAACAGTCGCCCATTATCAAGACGGAACCAGTCCCTGACGATGTGCCAGAAGAGCTAGAAACCGTATCGTACACTCGTCGTGTCTCAACACCGAGCATACCAGACCACGAATCTCTCCTTGAAGGCGCAGTCACCGTTTCAAGCAAAGGCTGGCGCCGCACTCAATGGACCGTGACTGCGGGTTGAGACCATTGATGCCACGTCTTCACCGCATGATCAAAGAAGCTAGGGATATATCGGAAGGGCAGTACGGAAGGACTCTCGCGCAAACACGCCTTCTTCCCATACCGATAGCAGTGACGCTGCTGATACAAGCCACCATCGCTCGATCGTGCTCGCATGACCTCAGAAGATGTGGAGACTGAGGCTCCATGTGTAGCAACTGAAGCGGATAATTCGAGTCTTGGGAGTTGTGGCTTGCGTAGTATAGTTCCGCGCTTACTAGCTGAGGATAGTGGAGTGAAATGTGGGGCCCCGTAGGCGAGTGAAGGGACTACGAGGACGCCTCTTATGAATTATTGAGCTATGGAAGCTTGCGCCATAGCCGGAGTGTGTAGATCCGAATGTTTTCCGTTGCTTGATTTTCTCGGTTGGGGTATTTGTCATGCTGCGAGTGATACAAGGGGTCCAAGGGGCGGACAATGTGTTCTACTGTATCTAGGTGTACTCGTGCATATGTATTGCAATTACCCGCCACGAATGATCTCTGAGTGTTTTTCACGACTCCGTGCATGGATCTAGATGTATACCTCTTCTCAAGCATGGATCAATACTGGTTCCACTTGACATCTCAAGCGCGCGGTACGGCATGGCCATTACGGTGATTAGCTCCCGCTGCTTACAATGCGTGTCATGTGCCTATGTCACCCGTGCGACTATGGCCTTGCTTTTTCTACAGCCTTCTCCATCTCCACACGATGCCCAGGGAGTTTCTATTCTGAGCACAACACATCGATCTTCGCTCAAGCCTCATTGCGAATTGCATTATCAAGCCACCCGCACATGCGCGGCATAAGCGCCAAAAGCAATTCGGAGACACCTTCCTTTGACTGCAACCGACTTCCTCGTGTATGTGTAAAGTGCATGAAGAGTACGTACTACATCCAACGCAGTCAGCAACACATTGAATGTAGACGTCAAGTTAGCGGCCGATCTACGTCGCTTGTAGAAACCGCGCTCAGATAGGAAGGCATACGGTCGATCTTCCTCGTCTATGATTGCCTCTCGCTAGATATCGCGTTGTCGATCAATGAGATGCGTAATCGCGGAGTTTGGTGGAGAGCTGAAGGTGGAGCGAAGCCGTGGGGTGCATATGTCAGACTGCGTTAAAAAGGGTATCACGATGGGCACGGCTGTGAGAAGTGGTCAGCACGGTATTCCCACCAACAGTAGGCTCCACGGCTCAAAGCGCATACGACGGACGGAGCAGGCCTACGCGATCCAGATTTGATGTGTTGGTAGTATAATCCATTGCGAATACATGAAGCGTTCGCGTACTCTCCGTAATAGGTATCTCAATCAAAACCAAACGCCAAAACAAATTCACTGTATGCGTCACCCACGCCCAACTGCGCCATACCATCTCTTGCTTCGACCATATCAATATGCAGATCTCTTATTCTTCCAGTCAAATCTCTCGCTAATAGTATACCACCTAATCAAGCTCCTCGCACCAACCTCATCACCTGTCCTGAACAGTTGCGCAACATCCACATTTAGCGGACTATCCGGCTCAGCACTAGTGAGCAGTTGGTGTATACTCGTCATGGTGCTAGAGATGGTATACGCGGGCGTCCACGCCGTCTTGAGTAAGTCGAGGCAGATCTCGCCGGTTTTGAAATCGACATTGGGGTGGCAGATGGGTGTTACGAAGCGGATGGTGGGTGGAGAGAGGGGGTATTGCGAAGGAATCGAGATGGAAAGGAGCCAGCAGCCGTCTGTGAGGTGTTAGCGAGTGAATGAGGTTTGTGTGTGGTCGTGTATAGAAGTGAAGCGGTATAGGTAGAGTGAATTGCGGGTTTGTGTGTACCTTCGTACGCCGTTCCTTCTACACCCTTCATGACGGCTCTCCATTGCATCACATCATCATCCGTAGGTCCGAGTTCGAGAAGCGCATCGTTGGGGTCGTGTTGTAGGGTTTGGAGTTCAGTCATGAGGCGCTTGATGGGCGATGCGTTGCGCGATGAGCCTGCCATGATGTTCTATATATATCGGCTTCGATGTTTGATATTGAAGTTGAGGTTATAATGGGTGGAGACGATGCGCTGTATGTCTATGGCGGTGAAAGCACGCGTGGAGCTCTGTTGTCGCATCGGCAAGCATGGCTGAGCTGGCCGCGGTGATGCACCGAGGTCTGAAGCTTGAGCCGCGTGGTGGACTGAGCTGCATCCCCACCAAAACTTTTGGACATGGTCGTCACTGATGTGTAGAAGCGCATACTACAACCACTCTTCTTCAAATCCTTGCGCATAGGTGTTGTTGTCTTTCTCTCAACGCCTCGCTTAGTCATTACTCTGCCTGCTGCGTACAATTCCTACCGCACTACACCATCAGACATACAGCAATCGAACTCTGCACGACACGCGCATACGAAACGACACACCCAATCATGGTCGCGCCTACAGTTACTCTCACGCATCTGAACCGTGCTGACGGCTCTGCGACTTACACCCACAATGGCTACTCGATCATTGGCGCCGTCAATGGCCCAATCGAAGTACAACGACGCGACGAACTGCCTGAGGAAGCTGCGATCGAGGTCAATGTCAGACCAGCTATGGGTGTTGGAAGTATGTACAATCGTTAGAGGAGGGATCGCGACTTGGTTACTAACATGGCTCAAGGCCCAAGAGAAAGGCATCTTGAAACCCTTGTTCACAACACACTGCGCAGCATCATCTTGACAAGGTCGATACCACGGACGCTTGTACAAGTCACACTGCAAGTTAGAAGTTTACCGGAAGAGGATAGCACAGCAGGTGTCAACACCGTACGTTCAACAGTTAAATCGTCTTGCTGTATCACTAATCGCTAACATTCACACAGTCGCTAACCCTCCTCCCACATCTTCTACATACCGCGCTTCTCGCCCTGCTTTCCGCGTCGATACCCCTTCGCACAGTTCTCACTTCTGTCATGATTGCACAACCCGCCTCACCATCTACAAACTCCTTCCCACCTCTCCTCTCGCCAACTGCCAACGAACTCTTACGCGCAAAGCCCATACGATCAGTCCACGTCTTCGCATTCTCGGGCGACAGAAAGATGTTGCTGGGGGAGAGCGAAGGAAAGTTTAGTTACGAAGAGTGGAACGAGGCATGTCAAATGGCCGAGGATGCGTGCTGCGGAGAGGAAGACGATGAAGAGGAGGGTGGCGTAAGGCTAGAAGCCGAGGGCGAGGCCATGGACGTCGATGGACAGGTTGAAGGAGAGAATCTGGAGAAGTGGTTGAGGAGCGTTGTGAGGAGGAAGGTCGATTACGAACAGCGGTGGAAGAGCGCTACCTGAACATAGCGGGAGAGATGCAGAGACAAAGAGTGTGCGAGATACCAAGCAGATGACTCTTACGTTAGTTAACGCATCGTAGAGTGCAAGATGCTAGCTACGGCATATCCTGGAGCCTTGACGGTTCAGTCCTTAGCATGCCGTTAGGTATCGATCAGTCAGGGTCCTCATCGGCGCTGAACTAAACTGTCGAGTTGCCTCGAGAAAGGGTGGCTCAGACATGTAAAACCATGAATATTCAGCATTTTAACGCGGAGATGACTCGACAATAGATGACGGCTCAATAGCCAAGACCAATCAAAGGTTGACATGCACTACCTTGGTGAGTGTACATCACTTTCTGTTCATGCGTCTGACTAGAGGGTATAATCTTGGTTTGGTGAAGTGCATTGGTGACATGTAGTGACTAATACATGGGTCGAGCCCTCATTGTGTACGAATGAGACTTGTCTTATAAATACTATGTAACAAATCAGACGTGGTGTGACCGTGGTGCTCAAAAAGATCGTTTATTCAGTAGCTCAAGAGCCAGACACGCTACTCATGATCAGTAAAGCACTCAACGAGTAGGCTCTTTCCCCTCTGTTGCCTCAATGTAATCTCTGGAAGAAAATCCTGGCTCGCATTTGGGCAAGGCGAAACCGATCGGTATATCGGTTCTTGACGAAATGCAATTGGAGATACAAGATCCCCAGGCAGCCACCAAAGAGAGTCGCAGCCCCGAATATGGTAATCCATGATAGGAACTCTGTGGATGTCGAGTATCTCAATGACCAGGCAGATGCTCCAAGAACAACAAGTCCGCAGAGCCAAACGGAGACTTTGGTCAGGGATAACTTTTTCTCAACAGCCAACACCAGAGACATGTGTTTGTGCGGTGCTGATGGATATAAGGGATGTTGGTCAAGTACCACTCGCTGACCTTGCTGATGATCCCAGTACATTGCTCCAGATTCTTGCATCATGGACAGTTCCCACCAACCATTTTTGTAAGGTATGTAGTGCTTCGGAACTGTGATTGCGCCAGGCTCATCTTGCCAAGTATCGCGTATCTGAAACATTGCAGCACGGTACAATCGCTCATAGTGTAGGCACGGGTTCGAGATCTGCGAGCGTTCACTTCAGCTTGCTAACCATACAGGCTATTTCTGCACGACTCACCACCTGAAACTCGTGATGAAACCTTCCGAACAACTTAAACAATGTCCGGAAGATCTTGGACATTTGCTTTCGTTCACTCCATCTGTGGACGTCGAGGAAGTGATCTAGAGGCGCATTTTCGTAGAAGTCAATAGCTTCTAGAGATTCTGTGGCATAAGGCAATCTATCAAAGGTTGCTGCAGCAGGTCGTAGGTTCGGGCGTAAGGTGTTTTGATCATGCCCCAGGCGAGATGAGTCCATGTTCCGCCGACTTCTCCATACAGCGAGAATGACAAGAAGAACAGGAAAGAATGCTCTAAAGATGTCTCGCCATACAAGTGGGTAGTACACAATATCCGGAACGCGTTCAGTGCTTCTTCTAACAAGCTCATCGAAGTCGTGTGCCTTTCTCATCTCAGTGCACAGTGAGGTGTTTTGTAATGCTGGATTATTCTAACGCTGTTAATCGGCGCATCATATGAACCAGCATACCTCGAAGAAACATACTGGGTGGTTTCTGCAAGCCTCCATCTCATTAAGCTTGTTACCGCGTATTTGCTCGTTATACGTCTTGATGCCCCACACCAGCGCAAGCAATGCAAGAAGTTTCAAATCCCAATCTTTCCGCAGCCATTGAGGCAGGCTGTCAAACTTCACACGTACAGGAGCGAGGTGAGTTGCTGTGTCGTTTTGAGTCGTGGATGACGACGTTGCGCTAGGAGCTCTATTTGGTGGGCTGGGCGATGGGCTCGAGGTCGCACGTGGGCTCAAGGACGCAGGTGTGCTCGTTGCGTTTGATTGACTTACCAAGGGTGTCGCAGTTTGAGTTTGATGTGAAGTTGACGAGGCCGAAGCGGGGTCTGGAGCTGAAGCTGGCAAGGCTGGCTGCGAGGAATTCGATGGCGCGGGTTGCATGACTTGGGATACTTTAGCATGCGGAGGTATCAGTTTCTAGCTAGAACGAGTTATAATCTGGAGAGTATCAAAGGTGAATATACGCACTCGAAGGCTAACAGAAACCGGTGAGGGACAGGTGGAGTTTGTAATGCACAGCCGCATAGGTGCCAACACACCCCAGGCTGCATAATGCTCAGCCTCTTCTAAACGATACTATAGATACAAGAACGCTCAAAGCGCTAAAGATGCAACACGTATTGGTGATTTCTTAGTAACGAAATGTGCTGGAAATTTTAAGTACATCGCGTTGAAGTAAATGGTATGCGCAATTCGTCAATATATGCTCGAGGCGATCGATTCGTGATGAATGTGTCGTTTCGAGTCGTGATTCGTAAGTCGTATGATGATGATCCGCAAGGTCGTGTCCCATCGCTATGCATAACCCCAAAAGAATGTCCATGAAGTCAAATAAAAGTCGTCAAACCGATTCCACTTTCTCTGTTATCAGTTTCTTGTCGTTTCTCGCTTGCTCGGCCAAAAGCCTCCCCAAAGACCCTTGTGCGTCCCATTCTGGTATCTCCCACATCGTTTTACCTTTCGACGGTTCTTCGCCCTCAACTAACCTGAAGTCTTCGCTACATGCTTTTGCCTCCATTAGCCATTCGCGCCAAGCTTCAGTATCTGGACATGCGGCGCTCATTCGCACCCATCCGATTTCTTTGGTGACACAGATTGCCCTCCAAAGAGCTTGTGTGAATGTGTCATTTTCTGAAGGATATCCTTTCTTGTCCATTTCAGAGTCGGAGAGACATTCGTTGATGACTGTGTAGCAAGACGTGTCCCAATGCATTTTGCTAGGCAAGGCAGCGACTATCCAATATGAGGCACCGAGTAGCATGTAGGAACCTGCCCATGCGATTTGGACCTGAATTTGAGCGTTGGCAAGGCATATGACGCCGCCCATGAGCATCATCGTGCCCACCAGACTTAGGATTCGGTAAGCCGGGCCATGCGTAAGGACGTAGTCCATGCTCTCTGGTGCGAAGTACAATTCACGAGCAACGTCTTCCTCGCAGCGGACGATGAGAAAACTACCCTTAGGATACCGTATAACGACATCGCCACGGGGAACTATTCCCGACTTGACCTTGCGTTTAGGAAGTTGCAACACCCATTTGTTGCCCAGACCGATAAGGCTGGAGAGGAGCGACAGGAGTACCGTGGCTACGACGGACATGCCATCGTCTTGCCATATCGATAGTGCGAGAAGAAGGGCGGAGAGGGCGAAACCGATAAGTATTACGACGGTGAGGGGACCGAAGGTCTTAGCCTTGAGTGGTAGGTCGTCTTTGCGTTTTATCTTGACGACGCGGACCGAGAAAGGAGCGAGTTTGTCGGCATCACTGGTGGATTCCTGATCAGCATTGTCCGGTACTGTCGCAGTTGTGGAACGGTACGCGTGGCTTCTAGTGTGGTTTGCGTAGTCCGGTAGACGTGTTGTGGTATTTATCGAGGAAGCTTACCAATAGCAAGAATGTTTGTAGAAATACACTTACCAGACAATGTTTCCGATATGATTAATGTAGTCTCTATGATTCCCGCTGACGATGCCCGTTACCCATCCCGAGAATGTATCCAGTTGTGTCGGTCTGGTCGGCCTCATCAGCGCTTGAGGTGCCGGGATCAACCGTGGTAGGTATATCCATCTCGAGAGCGTCGAGACCTGAGCGTTGGCGAGCACGGAACCCTCGCCCAAGATGGCAAGGAAACCAACGATATCGAGTTGTAATTCATTGAGTGATATCTTCCCGGTCTCATCTGATGGAAGCCAATACATATCGATAAGCGCTCAAATTATCGTCAAAGCTCAACGCGTATTGAAGGCTGAACGCTGCGAAAACGATGCATAGGTCCGAATCGACGCGCTATAATGCAGTAGGAATGTGCCGTAAGCGTACTCAGTATATACGACGGATGCGGAACTGAGGCGAGGAAGGCATGAATGATGGTGACGAAGCTCAACGTGGAGCAGTAAAAGTCGCGCGCGTCGAGTTGGGGGCCAAAAGCGCCTGCATCGCCCACCGGATCTGCGTGTGGCACATCTGTTACCAGTCCGGTCGGAGGCCCAGACACTTTATCGAGGACACGGGAGTTTGTGCACTCCCACAGCCCCCATGGATTGGGGCTTGTGCAGCTATTGGATGCCTCAGGCTGGGAAGTGAGGGGCAAACATGGCTGACAGGACCAGTGGCTAGGCTACAGGGTGTCTGGCGCATGGCAGAATGCATGAGGCTTGAGCATAGCCTCAATCTTGTGAGCGTAGGGTAGTTCTGCCCAGCTTTGACTTTCCAACTTCTTCTTAGTAACTGATCCGTTTGTCGCGACGACATCGCGATAGTTTGGATCGCTGCGCCCCGCTTGCGTGTTGAGCTTGAACTCAACTGTGATCGCCATACTCGCCTGTTGTTCGCAACACCAGAACAGGCGCACGCACCAGGCTGACATCCCCGTGACACCGATGCGATAGCGACAGCTGTACCGACCGACGAGGTTTGCATTGAAAAGGCATCGAAAGTGGTGTCGCATCCATTCGAGTTGTTAAGAGAAGGAAGAATCATACGCAAGGAAGCGTGCGCTGATGTATGTGGTTGCTCCTTCCTTCTATCTCTTGCGCGTTCTCAGGCACGCGATCGTTGTAGGCATCGTCCCTTCTTCCCCAGCACGAGCGAGCGCGCAAAATCCATCGTTTATCCATTATAGCAGAGACCTATGTCCTTCTCTTTGCTTCAAACTTCCATGCTAGCTCACCGCAACTTCATATCTTCTCTGTCGTGCCTATGTCTCTAGGCATCAGTTGTTTCCCAGCCTCGCGCATTTCCTTAGCCGCGGGGCATGAGGCGCAGCGAACAGACTACATCAGAAACTATCAATGGGCAATGAAACTAATACAGTCGGTTTTGCAAATTAGGCCGACAAGCGGGACAGTAGTACTTGAATTTGGTACACCATATCCATCGCCTGGTTAGAGTACCACCTGGTCACGAGGTGTGCCTTGAAGCAACCTCGTTTTGCGGGATCTAGCAACCGTCTTGAAGATCCAGAATCGCACACAGCCCAAACCGGTCAATCAAGAACAGTGACCGAGAATTCGTGCATCTATCATATTACTGTACCTGCAGCCTCATTTCGAGTGGCATGAGCAGCCGGTGATAGACGTTTTCATACAACCATCATCGGCATGCCCACTGACGCCGAATCCAAAACTTCGAGTGAGCCCCACAGAACCCGTCCGGGGTTGTTGGCCAAGTGTGGTATTGTCATCCCCACATTGTGAGTCCCTGAGTGAAGACTCGTATCTGTTTTGTGAGTTAGTGTTGACTGTTAGATGTAGCTTTGTACGTGACCGGCACGGATCTCCAGGGGACCCGAACAGGCCAGTTATGACTACAGCTGACTCGCCGAAGAAGAGAAAAAGGGCCCTCAGCCCGCTACCCACCAGGAAGATACCAATACATTCAGAAGAACCGAAAGTGACCGAAATGTCTGCTGAGAAAACCTCGACTATGGAGGAACTAGATCAGAAGAAAACTGAGGCGAGAGCATTTTTCGACACCGAAGTAGGCAGCAAGACGGTAACTGCGAAGTATGATGAGAACAGACGCAGATTCCTTGAGGCTGAGGACAAGGATGCGTGGGATCGATCTGCAAGGCCTAACAAGAGCGATTCCGATTCGGAGGATAAGAAGAAGGATGACGAAGTGGAGCAAAGAGCCGCAGACATCATCCGAGCGATTCGTGAATATGAGCGCAATGTCACCTTCGGCAACCTGGCTTCAGAAGCACTTCCGCTAGACGATGATCGGGACATGGGTGGCCAATATCTCACCAACAAGGATCGGATAGACCACCAAAGCAAGCTGTACCAAATCGCCAAAATCGTTCCGAAGGGTGCTCTTTTACATCTTCACTTTAATGCCGAATTGCATCCTGAATTGCTGCTCGTGCGAGCCCGCGAGATGGAAAACATGTACATCCGCAGTATAATACCAATCACAGAGGAAGAGCATCTTGGTCAGACGGAGATGGTTTTCAATGTCGTTGATCCAGGGACCGTCAATCGTGGCGTTAACATTTTCTCGGCTTCGTATCCTAAATTGACGAATCCGAGAGACGTCAAAAACCCTGCCTACTTGAAAACTGTCTGGATGCCATGGAAGAAATTCCGGAAGGAATTTGAAAAGAAGTTTCCAGGCTTATACAAAGAAGAAGAGCCCGAGACGTTCCAAGCAGGACGTCCACCACGTCCACCACGTCATTGTGGGGAACCCAAACGTGCCGTTCTGTATCCCGCTGAGAACTGGCTAAGATCGAAGATGGTGCTCAGCCAGGACGAAGCCTATCGGTCTACACAAACTGTAAACGGGTATGTGGGTCTTTCCCTACATGGTTCCTATGCTTACTGATATCTACACAGAGTATGGGCCCGTTTCAATCAAGCCACGAGAGCCTTTAAAGGGTTGTTGAACTATGAGAGCGTTTACAAGGAGTACATAGGCAACGCTATCGACCGTATGATCGAGGAGAACGTTATGTACGCTGAGCTCCGACCTATGCTTTTGGACAAATCTATCCCATCCGACGACGGCAAGGTTGAGATTAACAATTCTGCCCAGATGCAGCTCATTGTAGACGCACTAAAAGCTAAGAAAGCAAGCCTCGAAAATGAAGGGCGACTGGACAAGTTTCCCTTTGGACTCAAGATCATATATTGTACACCTAGGTCGATACCTGATTTTATGATGAGAGAGGAGATGAAGCAGTGCATCGAGCTTAAGCTGCAGTATCCAAATCTAATTTGCGGTAAGCAACATGGAACACAACATGTGCAACATTCTCTAACATGCACAGGTTTCGATCTCGTAGGCGCAGAAGACCGACCCAACCACATTGGGTTTTATAAGAAAGAGCTTGCTGCTTTTCAAGCAACTTGCAAAGAGATGAAAGTGGAAATACCATTCATGTTTCATGCCGGTGAGACACTGCTCGACACTGGAGGCTCTGACGACCCTACAAACTCCAACCTGTACGACGCAGCGGCCTTGGGGTCGAAGCGCATCGGGCACGGGTTTGCACTCTTGAAGCACCCGCATCTTGTGAAAAGGTTCAAGAGGGACGAATTCATACCTGGGTCGGGTATCTGTATTGAGCTTTGTCCTATCTCGAATGAGTTGCTGCATCTTTGCAGAAAGGTCAAGGAACACCCATATCCAGAACTACTGGCTGCGGGCATACCCTGCACGGTCAACTCGGATAACCCGTCGCTTTTCAGGTATGAGGATTCCTACTCTGCACCACGCCTCTTGTTCTTAACCCGCATCACCCTGGTCACAAAACTAACAAAACCACAGCAACTCAATGTCCCATGAGTTCTATCAAATCATGGTTGGCGCACCTAGCATGTCTCTCTACAGCTGGAAGCAACTCGCACTATGGAGCCTTGAGTATAGCTGCCTGTCAACAACTGAGCAAAAGGACGGAAAGGAGATCTTGAGGAAGAGTTGGAGAGAGTTCTGTCAGACTGTCGTTCACGACTATGGCCCTCTTATGATGGATGAAGCTTCAGGTAAAATCGATGTCTACAAAGCAGAAGCATCGTATCCGGAACGGTCGAGGATACATGCAGATATCGAGAAAGCAGAGGCAGATGAGAAACGAGGGCCAGAATGGGTAAAAGCAGAGAAGGAAAGGGCAAAGGCGTGGAGGGCATCTTTACCCAAAGGCAATGTCCTGCTAACCCATAGGGATGACAAGGACCATATCTAGCTACACCGAACAGAATAATCGAAGGTCGCCGTATAGCCGGCTAACTACCAGATTACCGCTGTCAACTAGATGATGAAGCTAAAACACAATGTTTCTATGACTCGCAAATGCATGCAAGTGAGGTAAAGCTTCCCTCTCATGATCTGCGCTTAGCTTTCTCGCAACTGACGCTGTACGGACCTTTGAGCAGAAGTCATGCTTCATGACTTCAGCATCGACCGCAAAGTTTTTAGCACATGACAAGGTGTGAGGCTCCATCACATTTTGGTAAGGTTTGGATGACAAACTGCGACAGTGACAGAAGATAAAGCGTTGCCGCCAAGCCACTCGTTCAGGTACGAGTGACTAGATTAATGAGCTTAGTGTTTGTAAGTTGTATCTGAGAAACAAGCCGTACGCTGAGAGCTCATAAACGCTATACTGAATCAAAGACACTATCAAGGCATCTTCAAGTGTTTCGGTCTAGGTGTTGAGCTGGAAGTCTGGACGTCCCTCTCTCCACTCGTCAGATTCCTTCTCACCGGGCATCTCTCTGCCGTCGGAGAGCTTGAGCCTGGGAAATGACCTGTCCTCGCGATTATTTGACGGCTCCTTCTTAGCCAAGTCCTCATTGACCAAGACCAAAGCACCAGATTGCCATCCTGCAGCGCTCACTTGGAGAGCGAAATATGCGCCAAGACCGTCCTCGCCACCGTCTTGGTCCCAGGCTCTGCCTTCTTGCTCAAACCACTCGCTGACTTCACCCTGAACGTTATGGTCGCTTAGAAATAGCTCCCTGCGCGAAGCGCTTTCTTCAGCGTGTGCTTGGTCGTGTACAACCTCCTTGAGCCACTCGTTCTTCCTTGCGTCGAACCAAATCTGACGACCGGTCGTATATGCGTGAGGGAGCAACTGACCATTGTTGTTAAATTGATCATATACAATACCGCGCGCCTTTCCGACTAGGTTGTCATCGTTCATGCCCAGACCGAGAGAGCCACAACCACCATTTTCGGTGCCGTACGATGTAATTTTACCATTCGAGTGGAGTGCCAGGTAGTGATAGTCACCGAAAGCGATCGAGATGACATTAGTGCCCTGCAAAGCCGGAATCTTCTTGAGACCTTGCATGTCTCCAGAGCTATTGTGACGATTGCTCCAGCATGATTCAAGGTAGTTTTGATCGCCAGTGATCACTTCGTTGTCCTTGAAGATGGCAAAATTGCGGAACGAGCCTTGAACGTCGAGAGGAGCTCCTTTCTCATGACGCACCATTCGAAGCTCAATAACATCCTCGACTTGGTTCTTGGCTCCAAATTTACCACAGAAGACCTTGCCAAGGTCGGTGGTGAACAAGACAAAATGCTCAAGCAGAACATAGTTCAGTACCGCCCCGACCTCTCGACCTAGAGCCCTCTGCTCATCGGACTCGCGAGTTCCTTTGACATGTTGATAGCCGGTTTGGGGGACCTCGGCGTGTTCCAAGACAAGCATAGTATCGGTGCCGTCCTCACCATGATCCCGTTCGACTGGGTCCCAGACGACAATGCCGATGCCATGTACATAGGCAGAGCTGCGGCTCCAACCTGCTACGACTTGTTTTATTTGCCCAAAGTTGGACGTTGTCCGCGTTGTGTCGTTCAGGGAGATCTCGTTCCATTGTAGGGTTGCGAATTTGACCTGGAGCGCAGGTTTCTTGACATCGTACCATGACCACATCCGACCGCTGTCAGAGAGTCCGAGTATGTGTGCACGACCGGAGGAGAACTGGCGAATCGCGACGGTTGGCTCTTCGTATTGGGCATCGGTAGCGGTAGGAGGATATCCTTCAGGGAAGCGGAGCGGCTGTAGAGGCCCATTAGCGAGGAGTATCCGCTGGCCATCTAGGACGCCGGCAGTATGGAGAGTGCCTTTTGAGGTAAGCAGGGTCGTGGACCAGCCACCACACTGCATATCAGCAATGACTCCCAAGTCTCTTGTCTTGTCCATCTCTGTCGGAAAGGCTTGGTGTGCCGCGTACATGCGCCTGCCTGGCCGCATCATGCCAGCTCTCATCCGAGGCCCACGACGGCCATGTGTATGGTCCTCCGGGTCAAGGGCGTGCCCTAGGCGGTTGTGCGAGTTATGCCCCCATGTGTAGACGCGGCTCTGGGTAAGCATACGACGATACATCTTCTGCCAGCGGTCGCCGTCATGTTGTACGACTGGCTGGTTCGGGACGCGGAATGTTGTTCTGGCGAGGTAACTCCAGTACGCGGGATCTAGTTGAATCGACGGTTGCTGGAAGGCTTTGCACGTGCTGCAGAGGGCGAGGAAGCTCTTGGCATCTAAGTAGGGAAATACGAGTACGAGGATGTCGAGGGGGAGGTCGGTGATGGAGCTGATCTTGTCGGCCATGTTGGTACTGGGAGGCCTCTAAGCTCCTTGTTCGGCGTCGGTGTTTTAGTAGCGAGGCTTGTAGGGCGACGTTGATACTCAGGGTAGAGGGGTTGGAGCCTGCTCCAAACGGTGCTGATGACGAGTACGTGTAAACAAGATGTTTGTAGAACGCGAGCGTGGAGGGTACACGCCCAATGACGCAAGGAGCGCGGGGATTAAGCTAGCTGACCGGGATGTTGATCACCCGGGGATGTTGATCACTCACAAATCTCAGCACTCCCACACAAAACACGTGTTATCTCTCCACGTACTCAACCAAAATGGGCGACCGTGAAGCAGC